ACCCTATATTGATTTTTGGCCGGACTTTTCTGCGTTTTGGGCCCCCAGCAACGCCCGTGGTGTGCCTGAAGCAGGCAATACTGCAGTGCTCATCTGCTTTCCACCTCTCTACATACGTCCAAGATGAGTTTCCCTATGATGGCGAGCTACGCTACACTGTTCGGACTCTGGACGCTCACTCAGTTCGTTCTGGTGAGAAATATTGGACATGTCGGACTGCGCCACGACAGGAGTACGATATGTACACACATTCGGACGGTAGCTTTTCACACAGAAAACTCTCTCTTGCACACACCGCTGCGCCGCCTGAGATGCTTCCCCAAACCTTGGGCTCTCCCCCAGTAGCAATCGTGTTCGGCGAGAGGAGCGCCATGTATGGATCAAGTCCTCGCGAATTGCGGGAGCCGATGAGTGATTCGGCTTCAACTCGTTCTCCTGTTTAGTGGGATGTTGCGTTGTACGGTCCTCAAAGCCCCCCCATGGTTCCACAACGTTTCGGAGGATGCTGCTACGGTCGTCGTCGAAGCAACCGCCTCTACCCCCGTGGCTCTGCTCTGCTAGATCTAAACGCGATGGGAGCTCCAAAGAACCGAGATACCGCACGCACACGACGGGGCGCGTGCACACGACGGGGCGCGTTAACAGCAGCAGCTTGATCTCAATTTCGTGTTCGGCAAGAAGATCGTTTTGAAATTTCCGGAGGAAGTACTTTGTACGCAAAGATTGCATACTGCTGATTCCAGTCGACCACACATGGTTTTTCCTGAAAAAAGCGTCCTTAAAGCGGGGTTGCGTCCTTAAAAATCAGGGGAAGATAGCTCACCATCCCCCGGGGCCAATGGAGGCATGCTATACCTCAAACTACGCGGCTTTTGCTAAGGAAGGGGGTGGTACGAAAAGTCAGCATCGCCGAGACGACTGGCAACCGTTTGTCGACGTCGAACATATTAACAATACATGAAATGAGATGTACAGCAGTCGGGGACGTGTTGAAAACAACTACAAGCAGTACACCAGTTTGTTCTTGGCTAATGTACTGCATAGCCGGCAGCGGAAGAAGGAGGAAAGTCCAAGTAGACATTGTATATTTATCTCATTCTTGTGAAACAAAAAAAAAACGAGCGTACTTCAGCGTCCCACCGAAGAACACCAGTACATACCACTACTGTCCCGGCCGAGACCAAAAAAAGCTACCCTGATGGCTTTTCCTTCCACATATCGCGAAGAGTTCCCTGAACCTCCCCCCGCGGCTTGTCTCTACGGCTCTGTTGAGTTTCATGAGTAAACGAATGAACGGTCTTCGAAAGAAGGTTCTGCGTCTCACGGCACTCGCCACCCCTTCCCTTCGCGTACAAATACAGATAGAGCCCGCAGTTAAGAAAAATTCTGCAAGAAAAAGGCTCAACTTTGTACGAAAAATAAGCACAAGGGCTAAGAAACAAAGCTCAATCTCGTTCACAACGTAAGAAACGCCCCAATAAAAAAGTTGATGGTGCGATACCCCCATGACATCAGGAATTTGCGGTGCTCCCAACCCCCTCCCAAGCTGAACAGAGGTGCATGTTTTTGTAGGGGGCAGAGTCCTCCCCCCCCCCCCCCCCCCC